AATTTTATAAAGGTCGATCATTTTTTAATTGAACTTTATTGTAAAATGCATATAAATAATTGTGTAACAATATCAACCAAATTTAGACTTTACCTATGCTTCGCACATGATGATCGTACTACGCAGAAATTCAGGACCGACTTTGACGACTTTATACCAGAAACACAACTACCCATCAATGGAATAAACAATCCTCTGCCTTACCGGGGCTATCACGCTTACATATTCCTGGTCCATAAGGATTCAGATGAGTGGTAATTTGCGGTCGTTCTTGGCAGGCTTTCCTGAGTCCGTAAGGATTTAGATGAGTGGTAATCTGCGGTCGTTTTTGACAGTGGAAAGACTTCCTTCCTGTCTTACCGAATTACTACGTCTCCTGTCTACCGAATTACTACGTTCACATTCCCGGAACTACATTCCGGATGAGTGGTAATCTGCGGTCGTTCTTGGCAGGCTTGACAAATGTATATAATATAAATAAAGCCCGATACGGTCGAAATCTTTATCAGATAAGTGCGAATTAAAAGTTATTTCTTTGCTTTCAGAATAATTTGCTTACTTCTTTATTCTTCCTCTACACTAGAATTCCGAAATAAATTACATGAAATTTCTCTAGCTCAATTTTTCGTCGCCACACAAACGAACTGTAGTAACCCATCTCTATGATCTGTTAACATGTTTATAGGTAAGTTTTCTTATAATAATGGTTATAAAATGTAACGTTTATACTTAACTAAAGTTTTTATCATTATATTAAACAGTTAACTTTTGGTAAGAATTAGGTAAGAGAAAAAGTATAAATTGTGATATTTATTATTTTTATTGTTTTTACTTATCTAAATTTATTTTATTGATTTCTGTTGTAAGCCTGGACAAAATTTCCATTGTTGTCTCATCACCTTCACCTTCACCTTCACCTTCCCCTTCCATGTTATCATAATTGTTGCCTCCGTCATCATCGTTGACACCATCATCATTATCAAGGTCCTTCAAGGTAAGCGTATTTGCTCCCTTTCAATCCATTTTAAAAATGAATGCGGGTTGTGGTAGATCTGATGTACTATATGCGGTAGTAAACTTCTCTTTTTCTAAAGTTGCAAATATAAATTTTTGGATGTATTATGTATTTTTTTTTTAGATTTACTTTGTCCAAGGTTATGAAATATTTTTTGGAAATATTGTACTAAGAAGAGATAAAAATTCAAGCGTTCTAGCATTATATATTATTAAATAAATTTTTATTTATAAATTAAAAAAATTTAATTTTAAATAATTTAAAATATTAATGTTAATATTACTAAGAATATAAGCCTGCTTTATGATATTATCAGCTGTTGCATTTGAAGAGGTAATTGCTCAAATTCGACTGTGTGTATTTTCTTTATTTATATTATAAATAGGTGATTATTATCCTTCCAATAAAATAAGATTTGAAAAACTGTTTTCACATCTTCATCAAATGAATCTGATCAGAATAGAATTGCATAAATATCAGGAGTTGCTGTGATTAAATTATTAAATAGATCAATTATAGTTTGATATTCAATATCTTTGCAAATTTTTTCATAATTTGGGGGCTGATCTAAGAAAATCAAAGTCCGAAACTAATAATTTATTTTAAAATAAAAGACGATTAAATATTTTGTCTTAAAAATTGAGAAATAAAAATTTGTACTA